CCATGATCTGATATGACTGGTGGCTTTATTTTTAAAGGTGGGGCGGATTTGAACAGGCACACACAGGGGGAATGCCATGTGAAGATGAAGGCAAAGATAATCCCTCTCCAAGCCAAGTGATACCAAAGACTGGGGGTAAGCAATCAGCAGCTGGGACACAGACATGGAAAAGATCCTTCCCTTGCAGCCTCAGAAGAAACCTAACCTGCTAATACCTTGATCTTGGATTTCCAGCCTCCAGAACTGTGAGATGATGCATTTCTGTTGTTTAAGCCACCCAGTATGTAGCACTTTGCTATGGCAATCTTAGTTAACTATTACATCACACTTCATAGCTTGGTGCCCTGGGTCACTGTTTATTTGTCTGATCTTTAATCTGGTTCTTAACTTGGGCTTACTATTCACTCTTAAAACTGTGCACTCTTGAGTAAGTTAGTCAACCTCTCTAAACTTCAGTGACCTCATTTGTATAATTAGGATAATAATCATATCTACATTATAGGATTGTTGTAAGCATTAAATAAAATTCACACATGAAGAACTTTTAAAAATATATCTAAATAATACGTTTTAAAAATAAATGCAATTATTATTATACACTAAGTGACTGCCTCAAGAAATTCCCAAAACTAGAACTTGTACAAGCCACTTTCTCTGGGGTGCAAAAATATACGCAAAATAAGTAAATAAAAATAAAATCACCTTAATAACAAATATGAAAAAAACTGGTTACAGACTGTTAGAAAATAAAATAAAAATTATGACATTAAATATTATGGGTGTAGTCGCAAAATAGTTATTAGATAAAATGTATAGCTTTTTTTTTTTTTAGATAGAGTTTTGCTCTTGTTGCCTAGGTTGGAGTGCCATGGCGTGATCTCAGCTCACTGCAACCTCCACGTCCCAGGTTCAAGCAATTCTCCTGCCTCAGCCTCCCAAGTATAGCTTTTAAGTGCTATTTTAATCAAAGAATATTAAAATAAGTAAGCAAATAAAGTAGTACAAGGAGCTAGAAAAAGCAACAAAGTAACACTAAGAAGGCAGGATGAAGAAAGTGATAATGATTGTGGAGGTTAATTTTATGGATTGACTTGACTGGACTACAGAGTGCCCAGATATTTGGTTACATATTATCTCTGGGTGTGTCGCTGAGGGTATTTCTGGATGAGAATAACATTGGAATCATTACATTGAGTAAAGCAGTAAAACATTCATCCAATTTGTTGAATGTCTGAATAAAATAAAAATCTGAGTAAGAAAGAATTCTTTTTCCCTGCCTGACTGTCTTGGAGCGGTAACACTGGTCTTTGTCTTCAGACTTGGACTTGGACTAGAACCGGAGCTTATACTATTGACTGTCTTAGTTCTCGGGTCCTTGAACTTGGGACTGAACTGTATCACCAGTTCTCCTGACCCTCCAGCATGAACTGCAGATCTTGGAATTCTTAGCCTCCAAGGAATTGCATGACCAATGCAATTTATTTATGTATATATAACTATATGTGTATATATATGTGTGTGTGTATATATATATAACTATATATATAAAAAAACTATATATAGAGAGCTTCTGTAGATAACTCAGACTAATACAAAAGCAGAACACTTTTTCTGACAAAGGCAGAATATAAATAACACTAATAAAAATGTCATTATAGGAACTACCATTTTTGAAGCATTTTCTCCATGCCAAGCCATGTACTAAGTGTTTAATCAAGACTGTCATTGAATTCTCATTTCAATCGCCGTACATAGGTACTGTGATTATTCCCATTTTACAGGTGAGGTAACAGGTTTTATGAGGTGAGGTAACTTGCCCAAGGTCACAACATAAGAGGCAGGATTTTGCCCCAGGAAGTGTGACTACAGACCCCAAGTTCTTAATAAAAGAACTGTACACTGCATAGTCTACGGTCTACTTCATCCACGATACCACTAGTCAAATTTCAGAGAACACCTTACTGATCCTCATATACTGTTTCTACCTGCATATCCTGTGGTATTTGAATTAAGTCATTTCTTCTACCATCACCACCCACCTCCCCCACCCCCAGCAAGCATGCACGCATGCACATATGCACACACACATACACACACACACACACACACACACACACACACACCCCAGACACTTGCTTGACTCTCTCCACAATCTGGCAAGAGAGACAAAATAAGGATTAATTTTTTCTTCCTATGTTGGACCTCTAACGGTTGATGAATAAGTAGTCTCCTACCATTCAAATATGGGAAGGTTTACCCAGCCCAGCCTGTAATAGAACTGAACTGGGGTCCACTCACCCAGCACAGTAAGACCAGATAGCCACACCAAGTTTGCAGTGGGAAAAAGTAAGGCATTTATTTGCAGGGTGCCAAGCAAGGAGCACCAGGTAGCTAATGCTCAAACTCTGACCTCCCCATTGATTTGCAGGTAAGGGTTTTTAAAGGCAGGATTTAATTTCAGGAAAGCAGAAACTGCAGGCAAAATTGCAAACCAATACCTGGAGGTTACACATCCGTTTTGGCCTAAAAGGGTGGGATATCTTAAAGTGGGGGTAGGGGGGTGGGGAGGGGGTGCAGGGGTGGCTTACAGGTCATAGGCAAATTCATATTTTCTGATTTGCAATTGATCAAGGAAGAGAAGCTTTGTTTAAAATTTTGGGGTCAGGAGAAAATAATGTTAGCTCTGGCTTGTGGGCATGACCTCCTTGAGGCCCTTTGGGAAGAAGTTTAGAATGAAAACAGCCATCAGTGTTCAGTCTTTAATACCCCCTTATCTGAGGTCTATGGGCCGGCCAGTGGATTCATGTGGTAGGGGTCCAGGTTTCTGAAAAACAACCCAGAGTATGTTAAGATGTTACTTTAGTTTCCATAGGAAACAGAACATCTCCTGACTGTAACTTCCTCAGCTATTATTTTTAAGTTACTATTACCTCCTTACTTATTAAGGTAGTCGTTTACTTTTCATGGCTAGCTAGATGCCTGGAATTTACCTTGAAGGAACTCAAGATTTTTCTTTATTTCCATGCTTCATAGGGGCACACACGTCCCTAAGATGTGTCCTTGTGCCATCTCAAGTCGTCTTCATGCCCACCTTGCCTACAGCCGTGTTTCAGCTCATGAAGCTCACCTCTGCATTCTCTGCCACCAATGGCCCTGTGTGCCTCACTCTGACCTTCTGAAAGCCTTGGTAATTTACAGTCTGTGGCTTCATTTGCCCATGAATTATTTAAGACCAAATCAAGAATAGTTTGTTTTCGCTTCACTTAACATCCACAAATAAGAACAAGTTCCAAGGACAGAAAAAAAAATTCTGCATATTTGTAAATTTCTGGTCCCTATCAGTTCACCAGGCAGCAATAGTTGGAAAAAAAAATTAAATATCCAACTCAAGTGTTCATCAACAGATGAATGGTTAAGGAAAATGTGGTACTTATATACAATGGAGTACTATTCAGCCATTTAAAAAGAATGAAATTCAGTTATTTGCAGCAACATGTATGGAACTAGAGATCATTTTATTAAGTGAAATAAGCCAGGCACAGAAAGACAAGCATCGCATGGTCTCACAAAAATATAGTTAGAAAGAATGAATAAGGCCTAGTATTTGATAGCACAACAGGATAACTATTCAATAGTAATTTAATTGTACATTTTAAAATAAGTAAAATAGTATAATTAGATTGTGTGTAACATCATGGATAAATGCTTGAGGGAATAGAAATCCCATTTTCCATGATGTGATTATTATGTGTTGTATGCCTGTATCAAAATATCTCATGCAACCCATAAATATATATATACCTACTATGTACCTACAAAAATTTTTAAAACATTAAATTTCCACTTTCAGGTCATGTTCTCACAGTAATAAATTAAATGCAGTTAGCTAAAATATACCTTTATTTGGCCACTGCAAATTTTTCAGATGTGACAAAAATAAATCTTACTTTTAAAGGATATTTATATAAATAAGAAATCAGTTGGCAGATACTAAGACAAATCCCACAAGTAGAACAAAGATAAATTGCAATTAGTTGTTTTGTAAGCATTGTGCTCAGAAAGCCTAGTGTTTATTCCAGCTTTGTACTTACTGTATAATGATATAGTATATCTGAAACCATACACATTTAGAGACCCTAATTATAGCAATGTGATGCTTCACTCTCTTATTTTCTAGGCTTAGTTAAAAACTGAAGCTAAGTGGAGTCAGAGTGTACCAGTTTATTCTACAAGTTTAGCACAGTTACAAATCACGTTACAAAAACAATCATGCTTTAAGAAATAAACGACATTGCCGTATTTCTCATCCCTTTAGAATGTGATGCCCACTGTGGTAGAAAGCAGAAAATAATAGAATGTTTCACTGGGTTTTCATTACCATTCAAGGAAGCAGATTGGGTCATGTCTTTGGTTTCTTTTCATGTTATTCTGTTTATAATTAAGGATGGATAGGCCTCAGTTTGGCTGTTTTTGTACATTTTATATTCTTTGTAAAAATATTTTTGGTTCAGAAGGACTCAGAATGTACTTTGTCCTAAACATTCTTTCTTTTCATTTTCAAGTGATCAGGTAAATTTTTACAACATTTTCTGATTTATTTACACTTACTTCATCAAAACTTTTCACAGCATGATTTTGGATAGGCTAAAATAAAACCAAGCTCTCTTGTTTATAAGAGACCTGAATTCTAGAATCTCACGGTAGAGTCTACCAAACACTTTTCTCTTAGAACCCATAAAGTCATGTTTATCAAATATAATTGAGTTTAAAAATCCACTGGGTTTTCATTCCATCTGAAATTCATTGGGCCATTCAAGTCCTGGGTATCTACTGGAACTAAACCTTTCCATCCTGCATGGTTTTTCGTCCCATGATAATTCTATGGTGAAAGTGATACTGGTGGGCTGGGGGAGGTCCAAACGCTGGTGAGACCTCAAGCCCAACCAGTTTCCAGGGGCCCTTAACACCATTGTAAGAAAGAATTCAAGGATGAATCTGAAAACAGTGAAAGTACAGAGATTTATTGTAATGGGAAAAGTACACACTCGAGCAAGGAGAGTGCAGGTGTACTCAAGACAGGGTCACCCAATGGGGTTTAGGGTATCTACCTGTATGAATTTCTTTAAACAAGGGGCGGGATATTGGTGAAAATTCCTGGGCAAAGGTGGAGATTTCTTGGAATTGTGGAGCCACCCATTTTTACACCAAATACGGGTGTTCCTGGAAATGTCATGGCACTGGTGGGTGGGTAATTACGTAAATGAGCATATAATGAGGTTCTAGGTGAAACCTAGATCAAATCCAGCACCATGTTGGTACCAGTCAGTCTTAGCCAGCTTGACCCACACCTGTTTTTCAGGGTCTTATCAGCCCATAGCATCTAATCATGTGAAATTACTGTCTGGAAGTTTTATTCTCCTATGATCACCCTCTACTATTCCTGTCCAAACAGCCCCATTGGCTGAAAACCCATCATCTTCCTTTCCAAATCTGTTTTTCTCTTCAAGTTTATTTTCTCAGAAAATGGTTCACCCAGAACCTGAGAGTCATCCTAGATCCTTGCTTCTCACTCACTCCCCTCCCCTCACCACACTCCACTGAATTTAGTTCATTCCACCTCCAAGTGACAGGGACAGGAGGCAGGGGAATTCTAGGCAGAAGAGGGTGGGTCCCCGGCAAGGTCCCCATCCTCAAGCCTGAAACTGCGGCCCAATGTGAGGACTTACATCTCTGTTTTCCTGCTTAAATATTGCCTTTTCCGAAACCACCCATGCCCACCCTGCCCCACATCCTATGTCCATAAAAACCTCAGGCTTAGCTGGCAGAAAGAGGAGAAGCAACTGATGTTGGAGACGACAGTTGGATGTTGGAGAGAAGTGGATTGACTTCAGAGGGACAGCTTGATGGTGCAGCTTCGGAAAGAAATCTGGCCAGAGACAGCTGGACTTCAGGGGAAGATGACCTTCCTACTCTGTCCCCTTTTCAGTTCCCCTTCCGGCTGACAGCCACTTTCACAGGCAATAAAATCTCCCACATTTACCATCTTCAATTCATTCGTGCAAATGGCAGAGCTAAAAGAATACTGTAACACTTCCTCTGGGGCTTCAGAGGTCACGGGCACCCCCTACCCCCAGATGCTGCCACAGGGCCAGTACAAAGTTCACTCCTGCCAGTGCCCAAAAACACTCACCCCAGCTCCTGCATGCTCCTCATCCCAGTGCAGGAGGTCCCAGTGAGTAGAGTTCATCCTTGTCAGTGCCAAAGCAGCCAGCCTATGCAATTGTGCATTTTGTCCATATTTGTGCAATAACTTCCTGGAATGAGTTGATCCACCCCATCTTGTCTTTCCTCAGTCCATTGTTCATTTATAGCCAGAGGGACCTTCTACAGTGAAAATCTGAATCCCCTTCTCAAAGCCTTTCGATCATCTCCCATCACTGTTAGAATAAAACTCAGAGTTCTTGGTAGATTTTAGCAGGCACTTCTTTACTTGTGTCTGTCTTCCTCTTCGGCCTCCTTCCTTAACCCCTCCTTGTGTCTCACTACACAAGACAAGGAACTTCATTCAGTGGGATGTTTCCTTCCTCCAGGTCTTTGCTTTAACTGTTCTTAGAACACCTCATACTCTCCACTCCCGGTAGCTCTCTCTGGGAAAGTCCTACACATCTTTTTGAACTTGGCTTTAAAGTCATTTTCTCTCTGAGCCTTCTTATGCTAGCTTAATTAATGCTACAATGTACTTACTAGCAAAGCACCCCGGTATACTTTGCCTGGACACTTAGTTTGCTTGTTCAGTTGTTTGTCTCCTTGGCTAGACCTTCAGTTCTGTGAGGACAGTGACCGCATCTTTTTCCCCTGGTTTTGTATTCAGTCAGTCCAGCCAGTCCAGGCACCTAGGAGGCAACCAGTAATTATTTGTTGAGTGAATATTAAGTGGTTGAATTCTATCCATGATTTAAAATATATTAGCATTCTTTCTTCTTTCATAATGAAACAGATTTAACATTTGGTCAAAAGAATTCTATCTGTTTAGCATAATAATAACAATTTGTTGAATGTTTTATTGTATACCAGGCACTGTTCTAAATATAGTCAGTTCTTTTATAATGAGATATTTGCATTGCAAAAAAATCACCATATTATGCAAAATCATGTGATAAAAAAAACCTATGGAAAAAATGGGGTTGAGATACAACACTCAAAAACTGCATCAGTGACACATAAAAAAATTTAGAAAACCAATAAAAATGTGGCAAGCTTTTACATATATTGGATGATTAAGAAACACATAAATTACTGGAATAAATGTGGAACTTTAACAAGGCCTGAAGTTTGCTTGTGGAACTGGGCTTCGGAAAGGCTGCTGGCCTGTGTTATTTTGAAGTGATGGAAGGAGTAGTATCTGAAATGGAAAGGAAAATGGAAACACTAGATGTGGCTCATGATACATGTAGTGAACTAAAGGAGAGGGTAGCTGCTTGAGGTGTGTGTGTGCATGTGTGCTGTATGTGTGTACAGGTGTGTGCATGCAAACATTTGGTATATTTCTACATTAGCCCTACTAAGCCAAATGCAGGTTTCTATGCTCATCTAGCATTTCTCATGAATAAAATTATGCACACAACCGTGCAAAATTCAAATGAATGCTCAAATTCTTCCTTAATATATTAATTATATGGGGCTAGATTCCCATTTTCAAAACAAGTGTTATGGCAGAACTGACAGTAAGTTAAATTTTTAAATTTATAATCTTGATTCAAAGCCAAAAATGTTGGTACTGTATTTATCTCCATTTTATAGATGAGGAGATTGAGGTATGTAGAAAGTTGAACTAACTTGCTCAATATACACATTTAATAATTAACAAAGACCAGATAAGAGCACAGGCAATCTCTTCCACATCTCTGGCTTGTAACCAGTATGCTAGATCACTGTATCTTCTAATAGTCTTTATTAGAACTTATATTTCATTGGTATTGGACAAAACTTTCCATGGCCTGCCTTCTTGACAAATAACATCCAAATAAAGAATGAAGAATATAATAACTTGTTTGCTTCTCTTCATATCTGAAACTCTGAGGTTATTTGGTCTCACCCACTGACGTCATAGGATGTAAAGAAAAAGAGTAAGTTTTGAGTCAGGCAGGTGACAAATCCTGGTTCTTCTGATTTACGGTCTTTGAAGTCAGGACAAGTCAACTTCAATGAGTCTATCTTCTTATCTGTAAAATGGGGATGTTAATTCATATCTCAAAGTGTTTGGGTATAATAGAAGAGATACTGGGGAAAAGGGCTAGTAAAGTTTCCCCAGCCCTCCTCAATGCCTTGTTAATTGCTGAAATTCCACATGTAATGATTAGGATTTTTCAAATTAACTATTGCTTTCTTCATAAAGTAAGCATAATCTACCAGGTTTCTAGAAATTTCCTTTAAATAAATATTCCAGGAATGCACTCACTGACTGGCTTAGAAGGAAGAATGCCATAAAAGAGGAGAATCAATGCAGGAAGGTGACCAAGTTTTCTTCCTTCACAACTTTGCCTAGAGCTGGCTGTATCTGCAGTTTCAGTACGGTGCTAGATCATCCTCTCCCTGGCTCAAGCTTTGATGCAATGATAGCTTCCAGTTCACATGAAAGCTAAAGCAGTATAGGGGGTGCAAATATAATGCCAACAAAATTATTTCCCAAACATTGAGTATTCTTAACTTTTTCAACACAGTTATACAGTAGTTACCTTATTTTACCCTGAAAAATATGGTGAGTGGATTGTATGATTCCAATTTAACAGATGGGGAATCTGAAGCAGAGAGCTTAGGTTTATGGATTTTTAGATAGCTTAGAACTCATTAGTGGCAGTGGGCAGGTCCAGCAACTAGATCTGCTGTCTCCAATTCCAGTGGCAATATCAATTATTCTGCAGTTTCTTCCTAAAAGAATAATTTACTATTAAATCTCTCATTGGTTCACAATCCTTTGTAATTACCTAAAACGTACAAACATTGTAGTAACTGTAGGATTGCAAAGATGACTACTGGCCCCAAATCCTATGAACCTACCACACAACATGAGGTCTGAAGGTATTTTTATCATCTCCTGAAACCAGATTTCATATTATGAATTGACTTAAGTACTGTGCCCCAAATTTATTTTTGTAAATTCCAAAATATTCTTGTCTCAAAACAAGAAAGTCAGCATTAGAAAACCCATTAAGTAGGTGAAGGGGTATCAGGGGCGTGGAAGGAGTTAAGAATTATGACAGTAATACCTTTGCACAATAAGTGTAAAACAGAAAAGCTGATCGAAACAGAATTATTTTCTATGACAGTTGAAAAGATTAATGGTGAGCTTGACCCCAAATTAGCAGAGTCAATGTCAAAGAATGTGCTATACATTATTGAAGTTTTCTATTCAGCAAATAAAGGTTGGCAGAGGACAATATTTTCTAATATGTATTTTGTCAAATGCTGATTTCTTAAGATTTTGTGTGAAATGCTTGGAATAAAAATAGATGGATTTCTTTAATGTTGGATTTTTTAAATGAATTTATTATGAAGATACACATGGTGGATCTCTAAGAAGGGGATGACAATAAACTGTTTCCAGAATCTTTCTCTCTCTCTTTCTCTAGATTTTTGTTTAAAGAATATAGAAGACTTTTAGAAGTCTCAGCATAGAGGACTGAGGAAAATGAGAACCAATTAATTCCATCTTTCTTAAAATTGCTTCTATGTGTCCAAATGTTTGATAATCCTCTGCCTGAGTTTATTTCTCTTGCCATGGAGTTGTGGACCTGAGCTTTTCATCTACATTTCAAGGTAACAAATATATATATACTCCAACACAAATGAATAAGCTATTTATCCATGTGCAAATAACCAGCCCGTCTGCTACTGATGAAAATAACCCAAGCACTGTAATTGTGCACTCCTGGTCTTTAGACTCAGACGTATCTGGGATTATTGTGGCTGTCTGATGGGTGATTTTTAAGGGGCTCTTCATTATTATTTCCCTGTGAAGTATGATACTTACCATCTCCAGTATGTGGTCTCTGTGCTTCCTCTCAGCTTTTGAACAGGTGCGATGCAATTTAAAAGTCATCCTGAATAGTGAAATGGACAAAATGAGTTTTCTGTGAGCATGAAAGGCAAATTGGGTAAATGGACTAGTCTCGTCTGGAGCTAGAACTTCAATGAATTTTCCAGCTTCAAATAGAACTAATGCTATTTCACAGCAAGTTATTCTTCTCCGTTCCATTTTGGTAGTATGAATCCTGAATTTAAAATTAGCATGAAAAAGCACTTTCTTGTAGATAGATTCCTGCTTCAGGCTGCTTATGCTGCAGAAGCTTTGGTTCAGCGAGTGCCAACTGAATAAAAGTACCACCCTCGGGGTCAAAGAATGTTCTTTTCTTCCTTGCAATCATCTGACTGCTGGGTGCTCCTAAAAGTATCAGAGAAAAGAAATCTTTTCTCTTCTTTCCAGGGAAAAGGAAATTCTCGAATAAAGAGTAGCTATTTAAAAAATGACCTGTGAATCTCTTCATTAAGTTGGAGGAGGGCAGACCTCTCCAAGGCAAGGAAGTAATAATCCCTTCCAGCCAGACCAAGAGGCAGAAACGTGAGCATTTTCTTATTCTCAGGTGCTGTCCAGAATGCTTCAATGCCTCTCAAGAAGCTATAAAAGAAGAACTAAATAAATATACAAATGGAAACTAATGAAACAGAAAATAGAAAGCCAGTAGACCTGATAAATAAATCCAATGACTCATTCTTTGAAGAGACTAATAAAACACAAATAGCGAGGCTAATCACGGTCTCTGGTCAAAGGTCACATCCTCAGACAAACTTTTTTGAATTTCCTGAATTTGTTCTGCCTGCCTTCATCACTCACTTATTCCTTTCCCTTGTTTTATTTTCTTCATAGAGTTAAAATTCCATTGTAGAGCTACTTGTGACTTTTTCATCAAGCCCCCTATTTTTGCACTATCATCTCCAAAATGAAAGAGACTTTTTCTGTCCTGTTCACAAAGAAATCCTCTGTACCTATTAATTACTGTGTATAGAATATAATAGGAGCTCTATAATTATAGTTGATTAGATAAATAATAAAGAAAAAAAACATGTGTTTAGTAATAAACGTGAGAAAGGAGATAAATGATAGACAGAAATCTATGCAGTTCTTCCAAGATCACACATATGGAGACAGATATATAGAAGTATATATCAAAGGAGATATATACATATGTATATACATATGTATATCACATATATATATAGTCTATATATGATCTTGGAAAAATTGGATAATATTATTTGATATATATACATATATAAATCTACATCTATTGCTCAGTCTCTATATGATCTTGGGTAAATTGAGTAAATATATGAAAAATAATAAAGTCATAGGTTAGTTACACTTTATATTAGTAAGTTCCATGTAAATTAAATATGATTACATTAAACAAAATATTAAGATAAATATATATGATATATGACTATATTATCTTAGGTGTTGATCTGGGAAGGTCTTTGCAAAAATGATCCCAGAGCAAGCATAAAGGAAAAGATTGGTAGTTATGAATGTCTTAAAACAAAAAGAAAAACAAAATTTTAGAAACAAATAAACAGAGAAAGTATTTGCAGTGTACTATACATATACTATAATGAACAAAGGGTTAACATTTTAGTATAAAAGAGCTTTTAAAATTCATGAAAAAGATGAACACCTCTTTCAAAAGAAAATATATAAGGGTGTGCTATGGTTTGAATGTATCCTCTCCAAAATTCAGATGTTGCCAATGTGCTAATATTAAGGAGTGGGGCCTCTCCAAGGTGATTACGTCATGAAATCTTTTTCCACGTTAATAGGATGAAGGCCTTTATAAAAGAGGCTTCACACAGCGTTCAGCTAGCTTGCTCTCTTGCCCTTCTGTGTGGTGCCATGTGAGGATGCTGCAAGAAGGCCCTTACCAGATGCCAGCAACTTGATCTTGAACTTTCCGAGCTCCAGAACTGCGAGAAATAAATTTCGGTTATTTAAACATTACCCAGTCTCCCGTATTTGTTATAGCAGCATAAATGGACTAAGATAGTGGGCAATTTGCCAAAGAAGAAATGCAGATGGCCCGTAAACACACTAAAGTTGGCAAAGAAAAGCAAGCTCAATGCAATTCCATGTTCACCTATGATAATAGCCAGAAGGGTAGCCAGAAAGGGTAATACTCTGTTTTGGTGAAGACATGGAGAAAGAGCTATTAAATAGTTTTGATGGCTGGGAAATTAATTGAGTCTCACAGAAAAGAGTCTCCCAGTTATGTATCAGAAATCTTAAAATTGGCATCACCTGTGCAATAGCAGTTTTACTTCTAGACATTTACCAAGAAAAATATTAGGGAAATGTGCTAAGATTTAGTTACAAAGACAAAAGAACAGTTTTGCTTATAATGGCCCTAAATCAGAAACAAATGAAATATCTAGCCATTTTGAATTCATTAAATAAATCATGGTATGTCTGTATGATTTAATTTGAATTAGCCATTTATACAGGTGATTTATACAGCCACTAAAACATTGGAAACTACTATAGCAAATACATGGAATCAGCCTAGATGTCCATCTATGGTGGACTGCATAAAGAAAATGTGGTACATATACATCATGGAATACTACACAGCCATGAAAAAAGAACAAAATCGTGCCCTTTGCTACAACATGGATGCAGCTGGAGGCCATTATCCTAAGAGAATTAATGTAAGCAGAAAACCAAATACCATGTACTCTCACTTATAAGTGAAAGTTAAACATTGAGTACACATGGACATAAAGAGGTGAACAATAGACACTGAGGCCTACTTGAGATGAGAGGGTAGGAAGGGGCATGGGTTGAAAAACTACCAATTGTATACTATGCTCACTACCTGGGTGACGGGATCATTTGTAAAGCAAACCTCAGCATCATGAAATTTACCCATGTAACAAACCTGCTCATGTATCCCCTGGACCTAAAGTAAAAGTTGAAAAAAATTGTGGGCTAGGTATTAGATGATGTTGAGGAGCTACTACAGTAATTCCCCCTTATTTGCTGTGAGAGTTGAATAAGACAATCCAGGTCCCAGGCTTCCCACAGTGTCTGGCACAAGCCATGTACCTCCCCGGAATCTAGAATTTTGCAAAGTCATAGTAGGAGCTCAGTGAGGCACTTGGAGAACTAGAGGCCCTCTGCCAGCATGACCACTTTGGCTCTGAAAGGTTAGCTCCTTTCTTCCAACAGAGGCCTGAATCTCGATGAAGCAGAGCTAGTGAGGCTTGGGTAGGACCTAACACAAGAGGGGAGAACCCTTAGCTGCAGGAAGAGAGCCAGATGCCAGCACAGGAAGCTGCTTAATGGATAAGAGTGTATTTAATAGAGGAGAAGAAAAATGCTTCCTTCAAAATTTTGCCTGTGACAACAGAGGAATAAACTTCCCCTGTTGCATGTAATAGCTCGAATGGCTGAGCGGTAGTTGGACTGAGTTCAGAGCCTGCTCTGTAAGCCACAGGCTCCTCTCTGGAAATCCCTACTCACTCTTGGTTTTCCTTCCTGAAAAAATCATTTTCATTTAAATAGGACTTTACCGCTGAATGCAAAAAGCAGACTGATTAAAACAATTAACTAAATAGGGGCTCTCTATCTTGTAGTTAACTCCTGGCTGAGAGCATAGCTGTACTGCACAGGTCCCTTCAGGCTCCTACAGGGAAATGTATCCTGCAGTTGTTTTCCAGCTCAAGTGAACATTCTGAGTCTCTGATTCCTTTCTTTCCAATCAGATCCTCAGGGGGCATGGCTTAATCAATGAAAAGAATTATAAGGTGAAATAGGAGGATCAATGAAAGGTAGAAAAAATATTCTTGGTCTGCTTCAAAGTAGAGTTAATAAAACCCAAAATGCTGCAGGTAAGCAGAAAAAAAAGGACTCCCATTTGTTCTTCTTTTATTAAAACATTTAAACCAGTATCTAAATGATTGGGTACTAGACAGACAGTCGTAGCTTCTCACATAGGCTTTAAAATAAGACATGCTGGGGGATAGGGAAAGATTTGGTTCTTTTAGTTCTGGGTGGTGATGCTATGTCTTCAGCATGAGATCACTATTTCTTTGGTGAATGAACTGCCAGTTGAACCCAGTTGCCAGTCATAGAAGCAATGCTGCGCACCTTCCTGCTTTTAGCTATTTGCTCATTTAGGCACTTTTTCTAAAAAATAAGAGAGAAGGTTTAATTTTACAAATAATGTGGGAATGTGGAGTTCAAGTTTGTTACTCTGTCTCCAGTCCTCCACCCATATCCTCTGACATTTTAGCCACATCTTTAATCTGTAGGGATGAGGAGCAAGGACCCTGTGAATAACCTGTGAAAGGAAATTGGTACAGAATAACATGACCATCCAGACATACCCCTGTGCCTTGAACAACAGAACAAAGGGTAGTGTGTTAGTCTGGTGGTTCCCAATCTTTTTGGCACCAGGGACTGGTTTTGTGGAAGATAATTTTTCAATGGATGGGTTTGGCGTGGGGGATGATGGTTTTGAGATGAAACTGTGATCATCAGGCATTAGTTAGATTCTCGTAAGGAGTGTTCCTAGATTCCTTGCATGTGCAGCTCACAGTAGGGTTTGTGCTCCTGTGAGAACCGAATGCTGCTGCTGATCTGACAGGAGATGGAGCTCAGGCAGTAATGCGCTCTCGCACTCCACTCACCTGCTGTGCAGCCCGATTCCTAACAGGCCACGGACTGGTACTGGTCCATGGCCCAGGCATTGGGGAAAAATGTGTTGGTCTGTTTGAGTTGTTGTAGCAAAGTACCACAAACAGAAGTTTATTTCTTCATGGTTCTGGAGGCTGGAAGGTGTTGGCAGGGACGATTTCTTCTGAGACCTCTGTCCTTAGAGTGTAAAAGCCACCTTTCCCTTGAAGGACTCACTCCAGCTGAGCCTTTCCTCTGTACATATGTGTACCCTAATTTCCTCTTCTTATAAAGACATCAGTTATATTGCATTAGGGCCCACCCATATGACATCATTTTACCTTTATTACCTCTTGAAAGGACTGAAGTGCAAATATAGTCTCATTCTTAGGTGCTAAGGTTAGGACTTAAATGTACGAATTTTGGGAGAACGCAAGTCAGCCCATAATACTCCATTACCTGACTCTCAAATTCATGGCCTTCTCATATGCAAAATGCATTCACCCCATCCCAATAGCCTCAAAAGTCTTACTGTAGTACAGAATTAATTCTAAGTCCAAAATCTCATCTAAGCATTATCTAAATCAGTTATGATAAGGCAAAAACAAATGATTCATCCTGAGGCAAAATTCCTCCCAGGTGTGAACCTATGAAACAAAACAAGTTATTTGCTTTCAAAATACAGTGGTAGAACAGGCATAGGATAGACATTCGCATTCCACAAGGAAGAAATAGGAAAGAGAAATGGGACCCCAGGTTCCAAGCACGTGTGAAACCTATCAGTAACCTCTTAGTAAACTAGGGTACATTTTCTTCTTTAATATATTGAAGAATCTGTTTCAAGTTAACAACCAATATTTTATTAATATTGAGCCACAAGAGATTTTCTAATAAAAGTTAAGAATAAGACAAAGCAACCACTGCAATATATAACATTACTCTGAAATACTAATTTCATGCAACTCAACAAGGGTGACAATTGGGAAGACAAAATTATCACTATTCCAGATTATGTGAGTATTAAACTGGAAAAACTAGGAAAAACAGAAAATTGACTGGAATGGGAAAATAGACATTTCAGCCAGTTATAAAAGAAATATTTTATTCATCAACAGTAACCAATTAAAAAATATAAAGAAAAAAGAGTCATTATCAATAGATTTGTGAAATATGAAATACATGAAGTAAACTCAAAGAGTGTGTTAAACACTAAAAAACTTTACTATGGATATAAACAAAGACAAATAACTGGAAAGTAATCACATTTTTTAACAGGAAGATAACATTGTAAAGATATAAACTCTCCCCAAGTCAATCATTTAATAAAATTCTAAGAAAAATTTTCAGTTAGATTTTTGTAACTTAGAAAAATAATTCTAAAATTTCTTTGTATGAAAAATGGTAAAAGATAGCCAAGAAATATTTGTATTTGATTAACCTGAAATTTCAGCTCCTGAAAGGGATAGATTATTCAATATACTTTGATGTTATAATTAATGAATCATTTAGGGAAAAAGAATCTTTCTCAGCTAGTCACATAATTAATCCTAAATCAATTACACATGTAGACATAGAAGACATATAGTGAAAATCTGATAGATTTGGCTTCATACTGGTTAAAACCATCTATACATCCAAATATAATAGATAAAAGTTAAATGTACGAAAATATATTTTTAATATTTATGATTGATAAATTGTACCTTAATATATCAGAAACACATTAGAAGAAGAAAATTACCTTTAGAAAAATGAACAAAGGAGATGAACAGGGAATTCATAAACAATAAACAAAAAAATTAAATACATTATTAAAAACCATTTATCTTAAAAGTTATTATTTTGTCCATTAAATTGGTATATTTTAATCAATGAAGAATGAGGATTAGAAAAATAGTTATTTGAACAATATTTCTGGAAGGCAATCTTAGACTTATACCCAAAGCACAATTCCTTAAAAATCAATAAACTGGACTTCATCAAAATTAAAAACTTCTGATCTGTTAAGGAGATGAAAATATTTGAAAGCCACATATTTGACAAAGGACTCATATTTAGAACATATAAAAAATGATCAAACCTCAAAGTTAAAAAAATTCCAGTGAGAAAATGGGCAAAAGATAAAAGCAGACATTTTGGCATGGAGAATATATGGATGGAAGTGAACTCGTGAAAAGAGTTTAACATCACTAGCCATTAGGAAAATGTAAAGTAAGACCGTGATGAAATATCATGACACAGCTATCAAAATGTCTAAAATGAAAAATAATATAACACTAAATGCTGGTGAGTATGCAGAGAAATTGAATCATTCATATACTGCTGGTGGAAATGTAAAATGGTACAGTCACTCTGGAAAATAGTGTGTCAGTGTAGTTATAAAAACTCAACATGCTTCTACTATAGGATCCAGCATTGTGCTCTTGGGCACTTATCCCATAGAAATGAATGTCATGTTGTAAACCTCAAATATACACAATAAAATTTATTTTAAAATAATGTTCTCAGTGCTTTGGGAGGCCAGGGTAGGAGGATCACTTGAGGCCAGGGTTTAAGATCAGCCTGGACAACATACTGAGATTTCATCTCTACAAAAAATAAAAACATTAGTAGTGCATGGTGGCATACACCTGTAGTCCTGTTTACTTAAGAAACTGAGGTGGGAGGATCACTTAAGCGTAGGAGTTCGAAGTTACAGTGAACTATGGTTGCACCACTGCACTCCAGCCTGGGTGACAGAGCGAGACCCTGTCTCTTTAAAAACAAACAAAACAAAGTTATTTGTAATAGCCAAAGCTAGAAACAAACAAAGTATCCTTCAACAGGTGTACAGTTAGATAGATTCTAATACATCTCTTCCTTGGAATACTGATCAGCAATAAAAAGGAATGAACATAACGACTTTGATGAATCTCAAAGGAATCATGCTGAGTGAAAAAAGCCAGTAACAAAACACAAACTGTATGATTCCATTTATGTCACATTCTGAAAATGACAACATTATAGAGATGGAAACCAAATTAGTGATTGCCTAGGTTCGGGGATGGTTGGTGAAAGAGAGGTGGATGTAATGAACTAGAAAGGGGGACATGAGGGAATTGTATAGTGATAGAATCCTTTTGTATCTTGATTGTGGTGATGGTTCCGTAAACACAAGTGTGATGAAATAATGTGACCTACTGATTTGACTATTCTGACGCCCAGACTCATTGATCAGCTTAGTTGTTTCAAGTTCCTTTCATACTTAAGAAAATGCCATCCCAGACTTTGTTGGCAATGGCCTGTTGAAAAGACAACCTCCATACTTTACATATAACGTAAATTACAGAGCATTTATTATGTTTATAGCGAACACTGAATAAGATACAGATTGCAACTTTCAAGGAATAACCAATGTCAGGAAAGATCTGATCCTGAGTAAGTCAAACAATCATGGTGATTGAAAAAGTGTGATTATTAAAACTTCCAACTGATTTGACTAAGCTCTTCATATACATGATTTTCTCTCTTGACAGCTATTCCTTGGGCAACAAGGGGAGAAGCAGTAACTCTCTTATAGAATCATTATCTAAGCCACAGAGGGAGTTGGATGTGGAAACTCTCTCTCTCTTTAATTAACAAGTAAAAATTGCATATAGGTAAGGTGTACAACTATGATGTTTTGATATATGTATACATTGAAGAGTGGCTAAATCAAGCTATTTAACACATGCATTACCTCACATACTTATCATTATTTTGTGGTGAGAACATTTAAGATGTACTCTTTTAGCATTTTCAAGTATACAGTATATTGTTATTAACTCTGTGATGAACAGTAGATCTCTTGAACTTACTTCTCTTGAATTTATTCCTTCAGGTATTTTTTATCTAAAATTTTGTATGTTTGGACTAACAGCCTCTCAAACCCCTCAACCCCCATTTCTGGTAACCACCATTTTACTCTCTGTTTCTATGAGTTTAACTTCTGTAGATTCCATGTACAGAGGCTTCTTGACTTATGGTGGGGTTATATCCTGATAAAACCATTATAAGTTGAAAGTATCATAAGCTGAAAATGCACTGAATACACCTAACCTACCAAACACCATAGCTTAGCCTTGCCTAACTTTTTTTTTTTTTTTAGACGGAGTCTGGCTCTGCTGCCCAGGTTGTGGTGCGATCTCGGCTCACTGCAAGCTTCACCTCCCAGGGTCACGTCATTCTCCTGCCTCAGCCTCCCGAGTAGCTGGGACTATAGGTGTCTGCCACCATGCCCGGCTAATTTTTTGTATTTTTAGTAGAGACGGGATTTCACTGTGTTAGCCAGGATGGTCTCAATCTCCTGACCTCGCGATCCACCCATCTCAGCCTCCCAAAGTGCTGAGATTACAGGTGTGAGCCACTGTGCCCAGCTAGCCTTCCCTAACTGAAACATGCTCAGAACACTTACATCAGCCTACATACACTGGGGCAAAATCATCTAACACAAAGCCTATTTTATAATGAGGTGCCAAATATCTAAATGTGATTCATTAAATACTGTACTAAAGTACAGTTTCTAGTGAATGTGTATTGCTTTTGCACCATTGTGAAATCAAAAAAATCCTAAGTCGAACCATTGTAAGTTGGGGATTATCTGTGTGCGTGATATCACGAGTTATTTGTCCTTCTGTTCCTGGCTTATTTCACTGAAATTTTTGATGTCAATAAATCATCTATAAAATAATTCTATAAATAGGCAACCAAAATAATCTATAATATAGACAACCATAGATACCCTTCACTGCTATTTGTACACAATTTTTCAGCTTATGCTTTCTCAAATATTGCCTCATTTCATTGCTCTACCAGTTCTGCAGTGTCAATATTCTTATCCTTGCCTTACAGATGAAAAATAAATGGCTCCAAGATTGAGGCTTAGTATCACACAATTAGCAAGTTGAAAAGTGAGGCAGGGCTCAGAGCCAGTCTTTAAAATTCCATCCAATGTTTGATCCACTAGACCAATGAAAGAAATTAAAATAAGATGATTAACTTTAGTAATGCCGGACAGGCCATGTGGTTTGGGGAGACAATCACTAGACTGAAGAGGTACTAGATGTGGTTCTATGCAATAGCCAGCTTTGTGACCTTGAACATGACATTCAACTCTCCAGCATCATGGTTTCATCGTCTGCAAAAATCAGATGGCTAACATCTCTAAGATGCTTTTTTTAATCTCTAAAATTGTTTACTTTCATAGGGAATATTGGCCTTCTATTTTGACAATTTTCTATTCCTAAAAGAGGATAGATGGTCAATTTCTGAAATATAAAAGTGCAATAACATTTAGGGCATATTTATCTGTCTATAGAAATCACTAACATGATTTTTACAAAATAGTAAAGAAGAAATGGCCATTTAAAAATATTTCTTATCAGGCAATAAATTAATAAAACTTGAGACCAAAATTGAAGGCAGGCTTAACACAATAAAATGCAGTCTCTTAGGTTTTGAGCCAAGAATGTAAAGTAAAGTTCAGGTGCCTATTTAAAGACCTGGCAAGCACAATAGCTCAAATCACCAATGTGGAGAACACTCTGTAACCAAATCCCTTCCTGCAAATCTGGGGGAAATTATATTTCCAATGACAATTGGCACATCCTTCAGCAACTAACTGCCTACTCATTCAGTAATCCTCCAGTTCTCTAGTTAAAATTCCTAATCTTTAGTCTTTAAGATACAGGCAGGATGTGTTTCAGCAGGGAAATTAGAAAAAAAAATGCAGAGGAGTTCCAATGAGACCTGATTCATGCCATTAGAAAAATGATTCAGCAGGAGGTAAAACTAAATTATAAGAACCCTGAGGTTAGCAAGTTCTCATAGGCTCAGTGCATCATAGTGCTGTCATCTCATTAGGTAGCAAATCATGCCAATAAATTAATTAGCATTTTTGTGCTTACTAATACTAAAAGAACCTCAAGAAGTTCCCTTCAGTGTCTTCAGAAATCTAAATCTTATAACGGCTTAGATTCACCTTCATTCCAAGTATTATACCAAATAGAGTTTAAGCTGCAGCTAATCCTGGTCACTCATAAAGTGGAGCATAGGGGTGAACTATCATCTGTACTTGGATGATGACTGTGCACACTGCAGGAGAGCCATAGGTGACTGAGATTCGTAAGTAGTAGAGACTAGAAGACATTTAGAAGTCGCCCAACTCGATACTTCCATTCAACAGGCTAATCTCAGGGTCAGGTAAGTGAAGTTCCTTGCCCTTCGCCCGGAAGATTTATGCTGTCTTCTCCCTCCACGATCAGCATTCTCCCAGTTAAACTGACTCTGAGTATACCACAAAAGACATAGTATTTTCTCTTTTTGGTTTTTTTGGAGGAGTGGTTTTTGTTCATTATGAACAAAAAAACATATCAGAGAGTTCATCTCTATAGAAGCCAGAAGAAGAGCATCACCATGAAGTACAAATAATGCCATATATAACTCATGCCTTCAGCATTACTTAGAGGCTATTACCAATTTCTAATTACCTGTAAACAGAGAAATAGACACCAAATTTCAAAAGAGCTTGAGCTCCAGCTGCTACTTCAAGCAGAGAAAGATCAGAGGACAGAGAATTAAGAGACTTTGACAAGAGGGGCATGGAAGAGAGATATAAACCAGACAAAACCTCCCTCCCCATCTCCCCAAGAAAGAAAAATAATACTAATGCAGCCAAATTGTGACTAATTTAAGAATATACATAGACAGATAAATAGATGCATGAGCATTGTTGAATATTTGTTTTTTGTTTGTTTAATTTTTGTTCTCATTCTGTCATTCAGCCTGTAGTGCAATGGTGCTATCTCGGCTCACTGCAAGCTTTGCCTCCCAGGTTCAAGTGATTCTCCTGCCTCAGCCTCCCGAGTAGCTGGGACTACTGGGATGCACCACTACACGCAGTTAATTTTTCTATTTTTAGTAGAGACGGGGTTTCACCATGTTGGCCAGGCTGGTCTCAAACTCCTGACCTCGTGATCCACCCGCTTCAGCCTCCCAAAGTGCTGGGATTACAGGCATGAGCAACCATGCCTGGCCACATCGTTGAATATTTGGACATGCTTTACAGAAAGGATCAACCAGTGTTTACGCCTGGCGAAGGCACCTTTCCTTTTGCTGAAATGATTATTCAATATAAAACAGAGGCAGGGAAGAGCATTTGGAATAAACATACCAGGGCTTGAATTTGGTTGTGTGCCTTTCTCAACCGTGTGCCCTTGAACAGTTTCAGAGTTGGTTTAGGGATTAAATAAGCTGACATTCAAAATGCCTGCATAAGTGCCTGGCAACCTGGCAGGCAGTTAACTCTTTCCCACAAAACAAGTATCTTATTTGCATTTGGGAAAGACTGCAGAGGCAGCATGAACGCCTTCCAAGTTCTCCCTGCCAGTGCTTCAGGACAAGTGGCATGGAACAATTAGGGGAATCTGCATGGGGGCTGGATCCTAGGCAAAAGGGACATCCACTTTTAAGGCATTGTTTCTGGATTTGATGTCAGTTGAACCTGATGAAAGGAAACAGCTGATAACTACTTCCTAGATCCTCATATTGAGAAAATGGCTAGATGCAGTCAAAAATAAAGGCAAATCCCAAGAGAAGCCCTTTCACAGCTGCTAACATGAAGGAACAAGAAATGGAGGCATGACTGGGCCTTAGGAGAAAAGGAATCAGAGCACTGGGAACTCGCTTTTCTAACACAGGTCAAAAGACTTGTGCCTGGTGGGTGCTGTTGACCTTAGAAAGATAGCAGTCAGCTAAATCTAAATCACTCCACACATCATCCCCCAAACACTTAAGATCACCATGAAGTGCAAATAATGCCATATATAACTCATGCCTTCAGCATTACTTGGAGGCTATTATCAATTTCTAATTACCTGTAAACAGAGAAATAGACACCAAACTTCAAAAGAGCTTGAGCTCCAGCTGCTACTTCAAGCAGAGAAAGATCAGGGGACAGAGAATTAAGAGACTCTGACAAGAGGGGCATGGAAGAGAGAGATAAACTAGACAAAACCTCCCCATCTCCCCAAGAAGGAAAAATAATACTAAGTGCTAAAATACCCAGCACAGGCTGGAGGTTTGGTATTTCACAGCATCAGCCACAGGGAAGTAGCTTAAAAGTGAGTGGGACTGGTAGTACCAGCCTCATAGAAGCATGCTCCCAGGGGAGAAGGAGATAGAGACAATGTGGTCCCCTTAAAGGATGCAGCAATGAAGGGAAAGAAAGAAGCAACAGAGGAAATTAAAGATCCGCAGAAATGAAAGAGAACTATATGGCAAGGCATGCCAACCTGGCACTTTTCTTCCCCAACATCATCCATGGAATAAAATGCATTTTACTGCACAGGCTATAAAATGCCTAGGAATAGAAAAAAAACACACCAACTGTACGCAATGTTCCTGAAAAAGAAAATAGAAAATAAAAATTGCCCTACAAAACATCAGTCAAGAAGCAGAAGGGAGCACTAACGTGACACTTCAAAGTGAATTAAATATCTCCAAATGAGCATCTTAGAAACACTTCTTAAATTCTTAGAAATCGAAATTCAAAAACTAAGATTACAAATGCGAAAAACACAGAAAGAAATAGAACAAGAGCTAATCAAGATCAAGACAAAAG